GTGGCATCACAGCTCACAGCAACCTCCAACTCCTGGGCTCAAGAGAGGCTGGGGATTTGAACCCGCCACCTTAGGTGTATGTGGCTGGCGCCTTAGCCACTTGAGCCACAGGCGCTGAGCCAAGTTATTTATTTTTTGACAAATACATATAATTTGTTGGTCTGTAGGACATAATAAATCTGCATAACAGAAGCAAATTATTTTGGTTTCAAAGACAAGGTAGGCCAACGCTTTATAAAAACAGCATCCAGGTGCAGAATGTTCATTAGACACAGAACCAGGAAGGAGCCTGTATTTTGTTACCTTTGCCACAGCACGAGGAGTTAACTTTCACACAGTCCTGCTAAGATGCTGGTGAATGGTTAACTATCTGCGTGAACCTGTGTAAAAACATACTCAGCCCAGTTACTGTGTCATTTCCAGCATTGTTTATATGTTTTATTTAATACTGTTATCACCTGGATGAGTATTTTAAAAGATTAAAAACCCTCTGTGCCTTCTGTGAAAGTGTCATTACTTGTTAGTGAAATGTGAGTCTCTGTCGTTAGGTTATTACTCCATTTAAATTTATTCATTATTTATTGAGTATCCATCTGAAGAGAGGTTTTCAATTTATTTATTTATTTTGAGATGGAGTTGCACTCTGTCAGCCTGGCTAGAGTGCTTTGGCGTCATAGCTCACAGCAACCTCGAACTCTTGGGCTCAAGTGTCCCTTTTGCCCCAGCCTCCTGAGTAGCTGGGACCTTAGGCGCCTGCTATGAGGCCCAGCTAGTTTTTCTATTTAGTAGAGGTGGGGGGTCTCACTCCTGCTCAGGCTGGATGTATGATTTTTAGTCGCTTTAAATATTATCTCTGGAAAAAAAAAATATTATCTGTTTAATGGGTTAGATTCCAAGCATTATAATGGAGATTTAATTTTATTCAGTTATGAGTAAATGCTGAGTGCCAAGTAAGTACAGTAAGCTAGGTTTTAATAGGTACAAAGAAAAGTAAATTTGGCACTTTCAAGAAACACTTAGTTGGCTAGGCGCAGTGGCTCACGCCTGTAATCCTAGCAGTCTGGAGGCCAAGGTGGGAGCATCCCTTGAGCTCAGGAGTTTAAGAACAGCCTGAGTAAGAGTGAGACCCTGTCTCTTCTAAAAATAGAAAAACTAGCATTGGGGCACCTATAGTCCCTGCTTCTCAGGAGGCTAAAGCAAGAGGATCCTTTTTACCCAGAAGTTTAAGGTTGCTGTGAAGTCCTAACTCTGGCTTGGGGCAATAGAGTGAGACTGTCTCAAAAAGAAACACATGGCTCGGCGCCTGTGGCTCAACCAGCTAAGGCGCCAGCCACGTACACCTAAGGTGGCGGGTTCGAATCCCCAGCCTGGACCCGCCAAAACAACAATGACGGCTGCAACCAAAAAATAGCCGGGCGTTGTGGCGGGCGCCTGTGGTCCCAGCTACTTGGGAGGCTGAGGCAGGAGACTCGCTTGAGCCCAGGAGTTGGAGGTTGCTGTGAGCTGTAATGCCACGGCACTCTACCCAGGGGGACAGCTTGAGGCTCTGTCTCAAAAAAAAAAAAAAAAAAAAAAAAAAACACATAGTCTAGGTGTGTTTTTGTCTGTTGATGTCATGTGGAAGTGAAAAAATACATGCAGTCCCTAGGTTACAAATGAGATAGGTCCTGTACATTTGTTCTTAAGTTGAATTTGTATGTAGGTCAGAATAGGTACATTTACTTATTACCTGTTATAGTCTCCATTTGTAAGCACAAGTTAGACATAAATCGGATATTTGTAACTTGGGGACTTACTGTAATAGCCCCCTGTTTATAAGTGTGGGTTGCACGTAAGTTGGATGTTTGTGACTTTGGAACTTATCTTAATAGCCCCCATTT